GTTGTTGTTGTTGTTGTTGTTGTTGTGGTACTACTCGTTACAGTTGTAGTACTACTTGTTGTTGTTGGTGTAGTACTACTCGTTATAGTTGTGGTACTACTCGTTGTTGTTGTTGTTGTTGTAGCTATTGTTGTTATACCAATTGCTGTTGTCGTAGTGGTGGTGGCAATATTAGTTCCTATCATAGTGGTTGTCGTAATATCAGTTGTTGTCGTGGCTGTTGCTACATTTGTTGTGTTAATATCGAATGTGGTAGTAGTTGTTGTAGTTATGTCGGTTACTGTCGTAATGGTTGTCGTGATACCAGTTGTTGTTGTAGTTATTGTTGAAATACCAGTTGTTGTCGTAGTGGTTGTAATGGACTGAGGTGTTGCCGTAACTGTTATAATGCTCTGATGTGTTGTTGCAAGTGTTGTAGTGTTACGAGCTGGTATCTCATAAAAATATAAGAATACATTAGGAGTCCACTCGATTGTGTAGTTTGTTGAATTGTTGATGTAGAAGACACATGACGAAGAACTTAGATAACAATTCATTGCAACAAATGTCAGATTTTGAACGATCGCAGCACAGAGACACTCTTGGCAGTTACTGCCGGACATATTCACGGAATCAATCGAGTTCATAGACATTGGAATATACGATGCGTTGACTATGCTTCCGATCAATATCGAGTCAACATTTGACGATAAAATAAGGAAAATTGCTATCGAAATCATCCAAGTGCTTGGTGTCATGTAATACATGTTTTTTCAATTATCGCTTTTCTTAAAATGATATTTTTTTATTGAAAGAATTCTATTAATTAAACCAATCATTGAGTGTTTTCAGCGTTAGAATAAGCATTTCTCTCTTCATCGAGTTAGTTGCTTTGAATTATAATACTATATAAACATTACTGTAGCCATGTAACGATATTTAATGACAAATTTAAACACAAGACTTACCTAAAAGATGATTGGAATAACTGTAAAAAATCTCTTGTGTTGATGACGATAATTAAAACAAAACATATACTGCAAATAATGATGAATAGATATAGTAGTTCCGTATATTTAATCTAGGAAATGAATTTAAACAATATCTAGAATTTGATAGTGTTTAACGCAGTAATCATTTGAAATTTGATAGCATACCACAAACTAATATAAATATCTACAAACAATAAATAATTTAAAATAAATATTCTTTAAAACATTTCATTTCGGAAAAAAGATTCTAAATGTCAAATAATCAACAAGACAGTCTTTAATTATATGTAAACATTTGAGATCTAAAATGGAATATTTCTACATACTGATTAGATTGTATTTGTCAATGAAATCGTTGCTCGTGAGAATTTGATGGAAATGGATACAGAATAAGCTACTGTTGAAATTCTTTTAAAAAGTATTTTGAAATAATGAGTTATTCTTGAAAGAGTCGGGGAAATGAATAAACGGTTGATTAATATTCAAAAATAGCTGAAGAGCTATTTAAACAGTCTTCCGCTCCTTTTTTTAAATTATTATTCAAGAACAGGGGCGTAAAAGCAATGAAAAATGGATGATTACTCATTCATGGGTATTACATTAGTAATTGTCTTATACGGTTTTATAGTATTTTCGGTATAGTAAGGGTGTCGGTGTGTGAACATATGAGTGGTGAGTATTTTTTTATTATCACTCACTTACATTCATCCTAAAAGCGATGAATATGATCAACAATTGAAAAGTCTTTTGAAGAAGTTTCTTGTTTTTTATGGAATTCAGAATCGGTTTTATATCGGTTGACATGCATACTTTAAGAAGAGTCTAGATTTTATAGGATATTACTTGGATCGTAGCTGGAAAAAGGGCAGAACATCTGTGTTGAAACCGGTACAGAAATTTGAGATCTAAAATCCGTCGAATAAGATATAAAATCTAACCATTTTCCTACGCCTTTCTGATCGTACTGCATGTTCTGGGTACTATTCATTACAAGAATGAAAAAGTAAATATATGTATGTTATATGATTATGTTTCTTTCCGTGCATGATAAAAACGTCCTTGAATGCCTTTTCAAAATCTTATTTCCTTTTGAGAAAATGTTTTGTCATGAACAGGGAAATATTTAACACTTCTTCGCGCTTTCCGAAATATAATTATATACAACTCTGTTTGTTTCTTATTTATATTAATCAATTATAGAACAGTATGCTTAACTCAGTATAAAATTTAACGCAGCAAACAATCTTCTTTTTTTCTTTTCTCTGCAGTCGTCTTTGATTAGTGACTGAAAAATGTAAAAAGACGTTTGCTATCATTTGAAGACGTGTGGTTGCTATATAAACAAGTACAGAGAGTATTTATCTGCAATAACTC